TATAAATATAATGCATGCATATATATTTAAAAAAACAAGCTATAATCGATTATTTAATTAAACTAACATCATATGAGAAATAAATCTAAATTGTTGAAAATGATTCGAGTTTTTCTATCGTTCTATGTATTTAGGTTATAAATTTCAATCATTAATTAGAAAATAAACTAGCTGCAATGAGGCATTCTTCATAGATAGATTCTCTACAAAGTGTATTTTCTCATTGTTTTCTTATTTAATTTTTAAGTTTTTTCGTCGTTATGAAAGAAGTTCTTTAGGAAAAAATGAGTAAGAGTTTGTTTTCACAGAGCTAAAAGTTGTCAATCATCTTGTATACTTTTGTCTTGTATTAAGTTTATATGCTGCATAAAACAAAAAAAATTGAAGACAAACTGAAAAGATGAAAAGTGGTTGAGAACTTTAAGTTTTATGAAAGTTTAGAATTATATTTACAAAAAGAACTTTCTTTGCATAGGAATGAAAACTCATAAAACTAACTGAGAAAACAATAAGAAAATCGAAATTTGAGAAAAACTTGATAATATACTTGCTTTGATTCTAGTCAGTTTATTTTCTAGTTATAGCAGAATGAAATTCGAATCTAAATATATATAATAAAATAACAAAAAAAAAAAGATTTGTTTTGAGAATTTAAATTAATTTTGTCAAAAACATGTTCCGCTATTATCGATAATGGACTAATAAAATCGAATATAACTCTCTTTTTTTCAGAGATATTTACTTCAATTTTCAATAAATTTTCGTTTGTTCAGAATGTCTTGGAGACCTGATGTGCTGCTTGCAACAATATATGGATTATATTTGACGATGGAATCATTGACTTTAGGCCTTTTGTATTGGCGTGCTTTGGTTCTTGTTGAAAACAATGAACTAGACATGAGCAACGTTGTTATGTAACTAAAACAATAGTTTTAATAATCCACAAATTAACTTATATTTTTAAAGGATTTCTGCTTTTGCAATGTTCGCATTAGAATCACTAAAAGTTGTTCAAATGTTGTAAGATATACAATTTATGTTTTCTTTTTCTTTTTCTTATTCTCATTTCAGAGCACAACGTATGGGTGCATCATTAACTGCTGCTCACGCATTTTTTGATCTATTTGATCGAATACCAACTATTGATAATGGATCAAATAAAGGCCAAGAATTGGTAAAAGAAAAACGAACTAATATCTTTCACTTGTATATTTTAATCTTGAGTTGTTTAGACTAATTTTCGTGGAGAAACAGAATTTAATCAAGTTAAATTTATTTATCCAAGTCGTCCAACAGTTCTTGTTCTTAATAAGCTTCAATTATCTATTAAATCAGGTCAACGTATAGCTCTTGTTGGTATGTGAAAAATAAATTATTATGTTTTCTAATTTATTAATCATATAATATTAATCGATTTAGGTGCATCTGGATGTGGAAAATCAACAATAGTTCAATTATTAGAACGATTTTATGATGTTACACATGGAGAATTAGTAAGTATCGATTTTCTATATATATAGTTCAAGTATTTATATAAAAATATATATTAATATAAATAAGACTCTTGATGGTGTTGACATTCGAAAATTAAATGTTCAATGGCTTCGTTCTCGTTTGGGTGTTGTTAGTCAAGAACCAATTTTATTTGATTTAACAATTGCTGAAAATATCGCATATGGATTAGAAAATATATCAATTGATGAAATTATTCTTGCTGCAACTAAAGCTAATATTCATGAATTTATTCAACAATTACCTCTAGTTAGATTAATATTTAATTACTTAATAATATCATCTTATATTTTCATATAGGGTTATGAAACAAAAGCTGGAGTAAAAGGTAGTTTTTTATCAGGTGGTGAAAAACAACGTATTGCTATTGCTCGAGTTCTTATTCGTCAACCTAAAATATTATTATTAGATGAAGCTACAAGTGCGATGGATCCATATAATGAACAAGTAAGTTTATTTTGTTTTATATATAATATTAACATTTGTAATTTGCAGATAATACAAGAAACTCTTGAACAAGCTCAAACAGAAGATCCTAGTCGAACATCAATTATTATTGCACATCGTCTTTCAACAATACGTTCATGTGATTTGATACATGTACTTGAAATGGGTCGTATAGTAGAAAGTGGTACTCACACAGAGCTAATACAGAAACGTGGAATTTATTATAAAATGTTAAATGCCCAAAACAACGTACAATAATTATTATTCAACTATTTCATTAACAAATAAATAAATAATTTTACATCTATAACCATGAAAGTACCTTTACTAATTTTCTATTTTTTTTTAATATATATGAAATTAGCTTTGAATTCAATTATATCTAATTTTATAGAAAATTTCAATAATCAACTTTTGTATCGACGAAGTATTTTAATGAAGTAAATAATGGAAGAGAAGTTGTGAAAGTATTAAGACAATCTTTTTTTTACACTATAAGTTTACAATATCCATTGATTAATCTTTTATTATTATCTTGTCATAAAAAAATAATACATATACTTCACATACTTTTGCATAATCTCTTTGATCTGATCTGTGGTGTATCCTATTCTCAACACAAAATATTTCTCATCAGACGCAATTGTTTCAATCAATTGAATAAATAAAAAAAGAATTTTGAGTCAAAATATTTCTCATCATATTTCATTTATGAGAAGAATATTGATCATTATTATTAACAATAGGATTTTCAGAGATAGGAAAAGCTTTAAAAAATATATCGTTGTAGAAGGATGGATGTGGTTAAAATTACAGAAGACACCCACACCCACAATATTGTCAACGATATCATTAAGCCAGAATTAAAGTTCCATCTTCTAATTAAAGATATGCTATTTCAAGGTTTTCTGGGGTAGAGAATTCGAATCTGTACTCCATTTGCCTCGAAATCACATTAATTGAGTAATAATCAATAAAAAACAAGTTACGGAAAAAATATTTTTCCTAAACTAACTCAAGGCGAATAGTTCAAATCTGAGCAGTATTCGATCCTATCTCCTATCAGATGGGCACAGCCACTAGAAATTGTGCTTATATTAAAGATTTCTTATTATAATTCTGACATCCGAACATATTAGGATGACTCAGCTTTCTCATACACTTCTAGTACACAGAACTCTCGGATAAAATACAAAGTTTCCGCATTTATGTTTTTTTTCTTTCGAGTATGAATGAACACTCGTGAGATTGAAATACATTCTTTTTCTTACATTGTAATGCTTATCAATAATCAATAGAAAACGAAAAGAAAAGAAAAGAAAAATGATGTTATCGTTGTGTTAATAATAACTTTGTATCTAGCTTAAAAATATCATTCTTACTTTGAAATAAAACAAAATAAAATAATCGACGGAATTAGTTTATTTTCTTATATCTCATTGAATAATATAGAAATTAAATAAATATATATTCAAGTAAAAGATTGTCTAATCTATCTACACATTCTTCAGACATTCAAATACTATTCAATCCAAAATATTATATGAGATTCGAATATTTTTTCATGTATTTTCATCAATCATCGGACGTTAAACGATTATTCTATTCGTTATTTAATATATAGGTGAAAAAGAAACAAAATATATATATTATAGATTATATTGCATAATGGTATAGACACGAATAAAAACACATAAATATAGACAAATTTCATGTGATTTTTTTTCATCGAAAATTTCAACAAAAATAATTCTAAATAAATATTTTACATTGATTTGTTCTTTTTTTTTATGAAAAAGTCTTTAATAATAATCAATGAATATAATTAACACTTTGAAATACAAAATAAAATTGATGGGAGATTTTAATAAAGAATAAGATGTATAGATTATTTTCTTCTTGTCAAAATATTTATTTTATTGTAATAACAATGACGAAGAGGTTAGGTAATGTTCTCTGCATTACTTCATTGTTCATTTGTGTTCATATCACACAAAGACGAGAGAATGAAAAGAATAAAATACAGATTAGTTTTATTTATCGAAATACTATTTCTATTGAAACGAAGAATATTTCTCATTAAATATCAACTTTTCTATAGTAGAAAAAGAAAATATTCTCATTTTGTTGTTATTTCTAAAGAAGAATTGCTCGATTGGATAACAATCAATTCTGTACAAATCAAACTTTTTTATCTATTTGGCGCAATTAAGACATTATAACGATTTTAGATGGGGCATTTCTATGTAAGTATCATTCTATTCGATTGTTTTAAAGGTTGTCAAGTCACAGTCGAATTATTAAAATAATTGAATATGGAAAGAATTTTTGTGAATAGGGCGATGAAAAACAAAACAGTTTGAGTTTAATAATCCATTAATGAATAATCTTAGGAAGATTTGCTCGGTGATTTTTTGTTATAATATTATAAAATTTGAATAGAATATAGGCACTATTGAACATAGAAGGAAGATTTTTTTAAAAATAATTTAATCGATTTGAATGAAAGTTAAGATGGTTTTCTTACTCGATACTATTTAATAGAAAGACTATTGTATGACGAAATAAAAAAGAAATGACTTTGATTTGATTGTGTAGAAACCAAGGTATTTTATTATTTTAATGGAGCTATTTTTAATGAGAATTTGGAATCTTTTTATTTTATCATCTAAATGAAAGTAAAGAAGATGTTTAATTTTATTTAGAATTATTTATTTTTTAAATCCCAATTTTATATCTTCATTTTAGAGGGTGTGGGTGGGTGTGGGTGTGGGTGTGGGTGAGGGGTGTGGGTGTGGGTGTGGGTGAGGGGTGTGGGTGTGGGTGTGGATGTGGGTGTGGGTGAGGGTGAGGACTTGAGTATCACACTAACCTTACTCTGACATCCACATCCACACCAAACAGAAATTTTTATAATGTATGATGATCGAAGAACTTTTTTATTTGAATAAGGTATGAACTCTCGAGTAAATGACACATAATATTGTTCAGATAAACTAGGGGATAATGTTAAGAACAGTCTATGTATACTAATTTAATGTTCAATTTTCTTTCTCTTCACTGTTTTCTGAGGCATCTTTTTTTGATGATATTTTGACTTCGACATCGTCCTGAATTTTTTCTTCGAAGAAATGTTTGTTTGTGTAATACCATGCTTTTTCTAAGTAACCATGTGCTTTTTCATCGAATGTTAACATGTCAATAGGCCGGGGGCGCATAATTCGTATATGATCCGAATAGTGGCAACTTATGAATTTCATGAGTCGAATAAACTGTAGACGTAAGATTTCACCGTCTGACACAAAATTGTAGAGCATCTTATCGCGCCAAAGAGTACCTTCCTCCATTAAGGTTGGAATTTCACCAACAGCGAGACCTAAAAGAGAAAAAGACATCATCACTGTGAAGATTTTATGTAACTCGAATTCTCTAACTTATAATCTTTCACCAAAGACATAACAATAAAGTCGGATTTATGGTTTTACTGACAAAACAACAATATCCACTTCTCGATAATTTATAGTCAAAATTTTATAAAACTACTTAACGGGTAGGCTACTGGCCATACGAATCTAAAATATCGAATTAAAAGAGTGTTCCTACCAATCAAGAGATTGATAATAAAAATGCACGAAACAATGGCCGTTAGAATCATAACGACATAGACAAGCTTGTAATATGCTACTTGATTATCAGTACTGTAGAGACGACTTTCATAACCCAGATCGAACATCATTAAACCTGTGCGTATAAGAGCCTCAATAGGTGTAGCATACACAGACTGATTTTGCAACAGCATCCAGTACGTGAAACCGAATCCGCAGATAATAATCATTAACACGGGTAGAAAGCGCAGAAATTTGAAGCAGATGACTTGAAGCATAGCTACATAGATGCCAACACCGAGCCAAGGGATACAACGGACATAAGCAAGAAGATTCATCCAAGCGAGAAGAAGACCCATAGCTCCAATCTGATACTGAACTGGACATCGAAAGAGAACTGGAGATTGCCAATCGTACCAGTCTAGTATATAGACGAAAGAGAGCACGAGAGCAGAACCTTCCACATAGTAAGCTCCCACGCGAAAGACCTTTGGAAAGAGAGCGAGGATTTGAATACCATTCTTGGCAATGAGTATCCAAAAAAAGACGTAAAGTGTAGTTTTAAGTCGTTGATATGCAGTAGTCTTTAATACCTCGTTGACGTTCTGCGAGATTAGAGTGTTAGCAACTTGTTTACATGTACCAGTATCCAATGTCATGTCATAACCAGCTAAGGCATAGAAATACTGAGGATGTTTTCCACTGAGTACTACAGCAGTCCACAAACCGAGCAGAACAATATAAGAGGCAAATGAGAACGCTAACCAGTATGTGCTAAATCGTCGATACAATTTTTTACGTAATAAGATATGGAACTGATGTGCCATCAATTTCGGACAGGCCGATTGTTGAGAGACTATTATAAGAGGATGATTTCGAACTAGTGTGTAAGCGTCACGCGTATATGGCTCACAAGCATTAGTGTTTTCGTTGCTAGCAGCCGTGCCGCAACCATCAGTCTTACAGCAGCAACCAAAGATGGCATTGACACCGAGTTTATGGTACCGAGCTTTGCACGATCTATCTTCAGGAGGTAGTTTCGAGCCTGTTAAAATAAATATTTTCAGAGAGATAAAAAAAATTATTACTATCACCACTGAAACGGTTGTAGACTCGTCCAAGTTACAACCGCTTTTGAGTTCGAACACCGTGCATAAGGTACACCCCATGCAGTCCGACCTCAACATCAGTTGCACACTTTGAAACCTATCCTCATTATAAAACTACAAGACCTTACTGTAGTCGGCATTTTTTATAAGAATATTTTAGCGGATGTTTGATTTTTTTGAGTTGTGTTAACTCTATTGAGCATTTGATAAAAAAATTGTTTTTAAGCGAAGTTATCATTTCAAGGAAAATTAATTTCTTTCTGTTGAAACTATCATTTTTTGAGTGCTTTTGTATAGGTGAAATTTAGACAAGGAAATAGATACTCTACAATAAAATACTACTGAACGAACTCTGCGAAAATTACTAAGCTTTTTTACAACTGCTTACGGATCTTTTCTATTAATTATAACCAGTTGTTTTTACTCTATCCAACACTGTAGTCACAATTCATGAAATATAAAAGCAAGGTTTCGGAATTGACTCAAAATTCAAATTTTTAATCATATTTCAAAATATTTCTGATATTGAAAGTTAACGATCCGGTACCGGTTTTTTATCAGAAAAATAATGTCATCTTTAATACCATGGTATAGAAATTGATGTATCTCTAAACAATAAGATAACTTAGTATGTATTAGATTAGTGGTGTTCTTCGACCAACTATTGAATTATATGAAAAGTTTTCAATGTGTCGCTACAGAATGGAAGAAATTCTAGAGCATTCTGTTCTAACAAGACGTCAGATTCTATATGAACTCTTTTGGAAACTCTGTAAATGATAGTGTAGTATAAAACTTGCGGATAATTTCGTAAAATTCACGTCAAGTTTTCTAAAAATAATGCGATTTTGTGTAAGCCTTGTAAGATCAAATAATCAACGCAATGCATAGAAATCGTAAAAATGTCTTTATCAATATACCTTGTGCATACCAATCTTTGACTGCATTCATATCTTCATAGAATTCATAATCATAGATTTCCTTGGATACTTTTTGACCTGCACCACCAACTTTTCGTGTTAGTTTTTCTTCTACTGTCCAAAGAGCTACATCGGGCATGTAACGAATGAGTTTTCGCATTGGTGTATCGTAAGCGTCGGTGGCCTCGATAGGTTGTGCATTGCGCATCATTTCTCGCCAGTTTGGACGCTGTAAAAGATATTTGACTATTTCCACGTGCTGCTTTTGAATAGAAATTTCGAGACAATTCAAAAGCTGTGCGTTGCGTAATGTTGTTATGGCATTCTTCTCGATCAGATACTTAACTACATCAAGATGTCCAAATTCACAAGCAAGATGGAGTGGAGTGAGGTGCCGATCACCAATAACATTAACTCCGATATGCACAGTTTCTATCAGATATTTGAGCACGTCGAGTTCTGGATAAAAAATTAAAAGATATTTTTCATTAAACATTTTCAATTATATGTAAATCAAATCGACGCATGTAATATTACTTACCTGTGCCGCCCCCATTCTTAGCCGCTATATGTAAACAAGTAAATTTGTTGTTATCGTCTGTTGCATGAAATATTTTCGTATGTTCGTGCGGCTTGTCTGATAAAATCGGTTCCCACATGAAGCTGAGAATACGTAAATTTCCGTGTTCACTCGCCTCGTGAGCCACTGTCTTGCCTCGGCGATTTTTGACAGATAACAAGTTGAGTATTAGTGAAACGTTTTTTGTATTGATAAGTGTTTTCCAGATATTTAATTCGTCTTCAGTGTTTATCTGAGCCGCTAAATGCAATGGAAGGTTACCATTGCTATCTTGTGTTTCCATTAATTTTTTGATATTTTTATCAGAGAGTTTCCCGATGATCATATTGAGTATCTTACATGACACTTGACGCTTAGCACAAATATGTAAGATATTGTCCTGTTCTATAGCTCCAACTGCCAGCAGAGGTAATTGATGCTCACCGTCTATATTCTAAATAATAAAATGTGGTTTATGGTTTGACTATTTTGGCAAGCAATACGCATCTTAACATATCATTATAAAGTGTTTTTGAGATACATATGTCTCTAATTAGACGGAAGAAAGTGTACAATACACAGTTTTAATAAAAGTACTAACTAACGAGGGAAGCACCCGAGGTGATAACTCCTGTTTTCATTCATTCATATCTCATTTAGTTAAGTATATTGAGATAGTAAAAACCCTAAAGGGGATTTTGCCCAATCTCATTCTTTCAGTATTTATCCCCATTTTACTTGATTTTCAACCCATTATTAGGTATATACCTCAAAAAATAAACTTTGGAGTTTCGAGCTGAAGTTTTGCCCATATATAGGTCCAGTAGTTATTAGAACATCCTGAAAGTTTCAGCCAAAAAGAATGTTCCTTTCTTGAGATATTCAATTTTCAAAAAATAGTAGCTTGCTATATATAGGTCATGAAAACGGAGTTCATTTGAAAATTGAATATCTCAAGAAAGGAACATTCTTTTTGGCTGAAACTTTCAGGAAGTTCTAATAACTACTGGACCTATATATGGGCAAAACTTCAGCTCGAAACTCCAAAGTTTATTTTTTGAGGTATATACCTAATAATGGGTTGAAAATCAAGTAAAATGGGGATAAATACTGAAAGAATGAGATTGGGCAAAATCCCCTTTAGGGTTTTTACTATCTCAATATACTTAACTAAATGAGATATGAATGAATGAAAACAGGAGTTATCACCTCGGGTGTTTCCCTCGTAAGTAATACTATTAGCAATCGGAAGTTTTTTTAACATTAGAAGTGAAATTATAAATGAAAAATATTAACAAACGACATAAGTGATAAGATGTGCTAATTTAGTTAATTATACTTCCTACAGAGCTACACGAAGACAAAAATATGAGCTATGCTATTGTCAAAATATTCTTTTCAGCAGACAGATGTTATAAATGATACTAATCGCTTACAGTTTCGTTTTATATATATTATGTCAGTCTATCAATGTTTTTGCTTATTGCGGTTAAAAGAAAATGAAAGTATACTTTGATCAATTCCAGAACGCAGTGCTTTGAGTTGTAAAATATCGCTGTCAGTAATGGTGTATACTCAGCGCAGTTAATCTTGCTGGAGTATCCTTCTGGTGCTGGTCTATTTATAAGCCATTGAAGAAGAGCTACATTGTCATAACGACAGGCAAGACGAATTATTTTTTCTTGAGTTTGGGGCGAAGCTTTTTCGAAAAGATTTTCTAAATGATTAAACTGCTGATGCTGTTTACGTCGAGCAATCATGTCAAATACGACCGGAATTTGTGTTTTATCTGTTGTGCGTCGCGTAAATAATTCCATGAGCTTTTTCTTGGAGTCTTGTTGCCCTTCCTTTTGATCGATTGATGATAGACGTGTAATCGATGGATGAGCTGCTAAAAAAACAAGAGGTGTTCTGTTGTCTAACGTGCAAAGATTGAAAAAGTCTTTGTCTTTCGCCAATTGTAGATTCATTATATATTCCACTAGATTATAAAGTTGTTCTGCATTCATCGGATTGACAGGGAACAGGGCAAAATGCAGTATACTTGCGTTGAATTTGCTTAATACCTATATAGAAAGATAAAACTCCTGTAATATGAAGTTTGTACCTACGTCAACTTTAGCTCCATTGGCAATCAAATAATCCATATAGGGAAGTCGACCTCGCATTGCAGCCATATGCAAAGGTGTGCGACCTTCGTCATCTGCATGATTGACATCAGCATGACGTTCTTCAACAAGTAATCTGACCAAATCAGGGACTTTTGCAGTGGTTACCTGTAAACAAATAGAAAACACATATGTATACGTATACTTAATATGTTCAACTACATTTATATATGACCGTTGAACGTCAAATTTTCCTACATGTACGTTTACAATAGTTTTCAAAACACCTCACTCATCTTATAATACACGTAAGAAAATAACCAGGACATAAGCGAAATAATTAACTTTGAAACTTTTGACAAATTTGACGAAAGCATCTAGTTTTGGGCTAGAATCCGACTATTCAGCTACTGTAAATTAGAATTCTTCTGTTGTGTAGTTCATACATAAATACTTACATCGCCTGTACCTTGCCATATGTATTTCGATTGAGATACTACATGTAAAACATTTTCACCATTACCACCAAGAATGTTAACATCTACGTTATTATTCTTTGAAATCACAAATATTGTTCATTTTAATATAAAATAATAACATACCGCATTGATATTTGTCTAGTTTGAATGTTAGTCTTCTACATAACTCCTCATTATTACTGTCAACAGCATAATGAAGAGCTGCCCATTGTTTATCTTCATCGAGGGTCCCAATCATTTGCATTACCTTATTCTTCGAAAGGCTTTCATTTTCGACCGCACGCTTGAATAGTTCCCATTTTTGTCGAGCCATATCTGGATCTTTCTCCGAGGCGGCCTATGCAAAGATTATTAAATAGACAAAGATAGAATTACTTTAGAATTAGATCAATATTAATTACCTCAAAGAGAAGTTCTTGAGTTGATTTGGCTTCTGATCGATCATAGTTGATCAGCGGCCACATGCCATATTCTCCGGGAGATTCGAGTTTTGGATAGGTTGAGATCTGAGACGAGCTTTGAACGTGTAAATCGATAGTTGTAGATTGCAATGACTCCATCGATAAGTAGTTCTGATGTGGTTTTATTTTAGACATGTATCAGTGTGCAGGCAAGATAGAACGTAAAAATTTTCTGTTGTATTGATACGATCTTAAAAGAGAGTCCGTAAGAAACACTCTTATGGCGCCGAAAATCCGCGCGAAAACAAATTTAGAAGGCTCTTGAAAATCCTATTTTTACAGTACGTTCACGAGAGAATTCCATCAGCTGATTGAAATCTTTACAACTCATATTTTTTCTATAAGTAGCACTCTTTACTAAAAACCACAAAGAATTTCGTGCAAACCGAATATTTTTTCTTCGCCAACCTTTTGATAAAATAGGCGTCTTCTATCACAGACTTTCTCTTTCTAAAAGTGCAATTCAAAATAAAGATTTTGTCTCATAACTTAGTTCAAATTTATTACGCAAGCACTAGCTCTTTGTATTAAGTATTAATAACAACAATAAGAACAACGAATTAATTACTTACTTTAGTTACTTAGAATAAAAAATTTATATGCTTCTGATTGTGTCTCTGCAAGTGTCTATACCCCGAAAATAATTCATATGAAATTCTGTTCGTGTCGAGAGAGAAAGAATTTTTTACTTTACGTTGATAAGCAAGAGCCGATTGAGTAAATAAATGATCACTTACTACACATGCATAAAATAAGAAATCATAAAAGGACATTCACGACAAAAAGTACTCTCTTCTACTATTGAAAAAGAAGAAATGTTGAAATAAAAATATTAGATGGTTAAAAAATAACAACTTTCGATTCCCTTCACAGTGCCCTTGAAATAAAATTTGTGCGGTTCGTTTACATAGCGTGGCTGTGATGGAGTGATTATGGAGATATATTCCATTTTCACCGAAAAATGTTTTCGCCAGGGACGAATTACGCCGAGAGAAATTCACTGAATGGATTTCTCACCATAAGGGTGTGCATGCGGGTGTGGGTGAGGGTGAGGGTGTGGGTGTTAGAGTAAGGTTCAAGTAATACTTACACCGACAGCGTAGCCACCCACACCCACACCCTCAAGATTTTGAGTACTCATGTACTACTCATGTTCAATCTGAGCAAATATGGATCACAATTAGCCTTATACATAATACCCAACGGTTCACCACTTTTTATGATCCCCGTCCTGCTATTAATTGGTACCAACATCGACGTCATTATCGTGAGGTATCTTAAAGCAAATAACATAAACCTACGTATTTAAGGTCTGTTGAACTTCGTTGTGCTATATTTTTTAATATTTGTCTTTGATTTAATCAAATATAAAACATATTAATTCGTTTTTTTTCAAGCGTAATATTTTAAATATAAATAAAGAAATGAGAGTGATTGTAATTGGTATTTCGGAATACAATATCTACCCATCCTCCTTCAGATGAGATCATTACAAAGAGAAAAAAGAAACTATGAGTTTAAATTAATCTTATTTTACCAATATCAAGACGTATATGCACTAAAATATATGTCGATACATAAAAAAAACTATTATTTCTCAATCGAAAATAAAATGTCAAGGGGAAAGATGTTAAGTTATAATCGATGTGATTAAGTGCGACCTCTTCCTTGTTTGATGTACAATCCACATTATATCTAATGATTACTATAGCACTTATTGGAGCTTGAGTTATAATCTATCGTAATAAAATTTGTGTTTTATTTGATTTTTTTATTGTACAATGTCTAATAAATCTGATCGAATCCCTCGAGTATTATCAATTCAAAGTCATGTTGTTCATGGATTTGTTGGCAATAGATGTGCTGCTTTTATTCTTCAGGTTTTTTCTCTTATTATAATCAAATTTTTGGTTTCCATATTATCAAGAAATCTTTTCAGCTTTATGGTTTTGAAGTTGATATTATCAATTCTGTTCATTTTTCCAATCACACTGGTTTGTATCTTTATTTTTCTTTTCAATAATAAATCATTTCAATTAATATTTAGGATATAAAACAGTAAAAGGTAGTCGATTAACTGCTGATGAACTTCGATCTATATTTCAAGGCTTACTAGCAAATGAATTATTAGAATATGACTATATTCTTACTGGTTTGTATTATTTTTGTAATTGAATATTGAAAAATAATCTTTCTTAAAAGGTTATATGGGTTCTGGTGAATTACTACATGTAGTCGCTGAACATATCCGCTTAATCAAATCTAAATCTCCTCATATTAAATATAGTAAATATAAAATATTTCGAAAAAATAAAAAATATTTCTATGTTTTTTCCTTAAATATTTAGTCTGTGATCCTGTTATTGGTGATGATAATAAATTAGTAAGAATTTATTAAGTTTTTTTTT